AAAGTCAAATTCACGATGGTTTATGTGGGAATGTAAAGATTACAGATACCCCAGATTAGAATGCATGGTGTATACATTCTTCATTGCTGAAAGCATTTTGTGTCGAATACGAGTTAGTGGATTTGTTAAAAAGACTTATCTTGCAGAGACTCCATTACACCTACCCAAAATAACATTTGATGCAGGAACTCGGACGTCTTTAAACTCTAACTCCAAGTGGCCATGTGGAGCGTCTAAAAGAGTAGAGAATTAAATAGAGTGATGAAATTCTCAATTCCAAAATAATTGTTTGTTTCAACTCAGGCTAATGCGGGTGAGTCTTTTCAAATGGAAATGACATTCACCTTTTTTCAACGATATTCCCCGCATGAGCCTCCATTGCAAGCTACTTCCAGTCCAATACAGAGAATACGAATATGGTCTATTGAAACGATTGATTTTAACGGTACAAAGTTTTACATGCAGTAAGCTTTCGACAAGAGAATGACGCCACTTGTTTCGTGTAAATCAAACTTACAACTTAACAAGCACGTTGTACGTTTGATTTGCAGGAAGCAATTCTATTGTATACTTGTCAGCAGCTTGCCGCATTGGGCGAGGTTTTCCTTTCTAATCGGCTTGTGTTTGTGGACTGTTCTGTACTGAAATAAATGCACTGGCATCTTTCACCACCTAAGTAAATTCTGCATTCATTTTAAGTAGGTACTCACTCTCGCACACAACTCAAGTTTGTGCAGTTACTCCGCACCAGCCAGCGCCCACACTACGCTGGAGGAATTTGAAAACGCAGCTTTATTCCTAGAGTTAGGCCTACTGTCCACACTAATCCCTCACAAAAACAGGGCTTTTTGAAAACGCCGTCTTTTAGTTTTCATGTGGGTGGAAAGCATTTCGAAAACAGAGCTTTCCGAAAACGACGTAGTAGCGATAATACAGTCCAATCCCTATAGGCCCATTGCACGATCCGGTCACATGGTACAAAATCACACATGCCGGTGTGCAAGTTGTACAGTGGGACTTCCAAAACAATGCAACTCGTACCAGTCTTCCTGGAACTGCCTTCGTTTTGGAAGTCCCACTGCGCAACTTGTACACCAGCATGTGTGATTTTGTACCATGTGACCGGATCGTGCAAAGGGCCTGTTAGGCGGCCACCTATTAAACGGCCACCCCCATTAGGCGGCCAGTAATCAAAGTCCCGATGAGGGCTTTTCTATTGTTTTTACCTCCATTAAGCGGCCAACCCCTTTTAAGAGGCCGCTATCCATTTCTCCGAAGGTGGCCGCTTCATAGGGGTTGGACTGAAATGTAATTTCCCTCACCGTGTTTTCCTCAAACACAAATCTAAACTGACTGGTGATTGTTCCGTTTCCAAATTTCTCCAGCCTAGTGTGGACGGAAAACATTTGATACGTTTTCAGAATGAAACCTCCGTTTTCAAATTGATCTAGCTTAGTGTGGATGGGGCCTTACATGGCATTTATGTACACATCATGTACAATCAATTTGGAATTTGGTTTGACTAGAATGTCCGTATATAACTAGTGTGGCTTTTGAATTTTATCGAGCGAAGTACATGCCAGAAGTTTTCCCAGTTTTTTGTTGATGTGTTATTCGCCACCTTGGAGGCAGGTAATGTTTGAATACCTTAGGATAGTAGACCATCCAGAATTCATAAAATACCAAGATTGCTGAGTAGGGTAAGGTATTGCCGTTGAGTCTGTGATCAAATACACGCTTGTTTCAAAAGATAAAAACAAAGTGAACGGGTTAACACAAAGGAGAATTGACTCCTTCGTTTTGCTTGTATGTCAAAGCGCTGATAACTGCAATATTAATTTGGCTATTTTGTTACATGCAGGACCAGATACTTGTAGAGGACTGACCATTGTATCCAAAGACTGTTAGAGGCCTGACTTTAGTGATCCCTGGAGCATCTAATGGTACTAAAACCATGGAATGACGTTTGTGCCTATTAAAAGTAAGCAAATGGTATTCAGTTAACTTGAATAAAATTGAACAGTGGACAACAACCAACCCCGAGCACGTAACTTGTAATTTCAGCCCAGCAATAGAATTGGGCTTGATGCCATTACAAACATTCCAGGCGTAGTCAATCGATAAAAATGGATATCGAAAATCAGTTGATTCAATCGAAATCAATCAATTAATTCCTGTCTTCAGGAATATCGATTGTTATCGATTTAAAACAAAATCGACAATAACCACCCAGACTATTCAAAGATGACTTTGCCATTATGTAAAATAATGCCTGGAACAACACGAGACGTTCATCTTCAGCATGCTACTAGATTATATAATTTTTCCTTTTGGGCTACTCCGAGTTTTATTTTTACCTTTGTTTCCTAATGCAAATAATAGAAATCACTAGAACACTGACTCTGTTCTTTAATTTGCTTCATCTTAATGCCAACGCTACAATGAGACTGGAGGGTTTTCTCTGCTACTCTCATCTGAGTTTCTTACGGTGTTGTAAACTAGCAAAGACAGATTTAAAGCCTAAAATGGTTCTGTTGTTTCTTTTCTTGTTATTTCTTCGATGATTGTTTAAGATACAGGCTATGATTAAATGACTCAATAAAACCATTGCAGACAAATTTTGTCAAACAATTTATTAGTGTAACCTGTAAAAGGACAAACATAATTTCCGATAAGAATCGATAATAATCGATACCAATCGATGAATCAATCACTATTGATTACTATCACTGATTACTATTACTTCCTCGATTGCTGATAGCAATCGATATCAATCTTCGATTGATATCGATTGTTATCGATTGTTAGACTACGCCTGGAAACATTGTAAAGCGCCACTGAGCTCTGGAAATGAGCGCTACATATGTAATGCAATGCAATGCATTGCATTGCATTGTATTGTAATGTGCTGTACTGTACTGTACTGTGCTGTACTGCACTGCACTGCACTGTATTGTATTGTATTGTATTCTTTACTAAGAAAACTCGCCCTTTCTGCTTATTGTTGGGTATTATATCTGGATTTGAAGAACACTAGAGAAGGCGCTGAGCGAGTTTGCAAAAGTTTATGAAAGGAAAGTCTGACGCGTACAAGTAGCTCATTTGCATAGTGCAGCGCGTGCAATTTCAAGTCCGACTCGGGGCTTTCAATTGTCAACAAATTTTGACAAAGATCTCTTTCGTTATCTTTGATATTGGGGTAAAACAATTTGTTGTGGACTCACTCGGCTGCGCCTCGTGAGTCCACAACATTTTGACCACTGTGATGACGCGTACTCGTTGTCGATAAGAGTACAGACCACGCTAAACCACTTTCGATTTGTTAATTTGCTCCCGCATTGTGTCTCGGTACTACGCAACAGAGTACAATGTATATGAAACGTAAGATACAACATACTTTGGCATGTCCTGCGCTGTGCTGCATCCCATCACAATAGCTATCTTACAGCGAGGGTCTCCTGCCCCTGAGGAAATACAGAGTCAAGTATTCAGTCGTACAAGCGATTCGATAATGTTCTAAAACCAATAGCTTGATTACCACTGCTCCACCACTTCCGCCCATTGATAACAACTTCGTTTCCATCTCTTCTTATCTCGCACTCCATGTTTGTTGCATCAGATGATGCTACATCAGGTTCTGGATATTAAAGACAAAAATACATCATAAAATTTCAATTTGCCATCAGGAACTTAGTAGTAATTATTGCTGACTTACATTGAACCTACAGAAAACTGGAAAGAACTACACTGAAGAGCACCATGACCTTGATAAGCAGAGGAGGACCTCAAAAAAAGCGACAAACGAACCTTGCCTTCAAACATAACTACCGCTAACACAGGTGACATGAACATCAACTGTCAATACAGCATCAAGACAAAAGTAATTGTTAAAGTCTTCCAAAATCCGGATATTTAACACCATCAACTAACAAATTAGCAAAAAAATCATTTGACTCGAAGGATGAAATCCGTTCAGATACTTATAATGTCAGTCACTACCAACAGTCCCTCGTATTTACTTAAAATGCCAACCACTAACCACCCTCACCCAAATGATCTCAACAGACAAACTAAAGAATGTTAAAACAATAAAGTACAAGGCTGTTCCAAGCAGAAGATACGAATCTGTATCAAAATACACCATGTTACCTGTCATACAAAAGGCAGACCTTATGTCTCCTTTAAGAAGGGGTTTCAGCCACGCCTTTTTCTGCTCTGTATTACCATACAGATGAAGAACCTCCATATTACCAGTATCTGTAGGAAAAAGAGTAGAACATTTTTGACTGTCATACTCTGCAATGGACAAATCGATAATCATATGCTGTGACACGAGTGGCTGATCTTCAAGGCTCTGACCTACATGTAAATTGTTGGCAGAGTGTATTTGATATTATTCAGTTTCTGGTAGAGTATGCTCCTAGACTTGTGGTGTTCGTTTAACAACTAGACAACTTGTTTTGTGTTTCACAGTGTCCTTGCTGTAGTTCTCGCACTTCTTTTGTCTGATGGTTTTATCCATACTGGCATTTTCTCTAAGGCTACAATCATAGTTATTTGCTATGCACATGTGCCATGGGTTTCCTCATTTCCTCCCTTAGCCATAGTCAAAAAAGGGGGATAGTTACCACGCCCGACTAAGTTATCTGTTATATGTTTTTGTTAACTCTTTTGATCTTGACCGCACACATCACCTACGTATTCCCCCGTTGTAATGTTAGCCAGTAGAAGTCAGGTCAACAAACTGATGTTTGATGTGTTTTGTGAGACAGCTCCAGTTCGGAAGATTGATAACATGTGTTTGCATTAAAACTTGATGCAAAACATTTTCACCTTCACTGGTTATGATCTAGGACAACCTTATTTAAAGGAGGTCACTCCAAAAAACGCGTATTTCTTGTCAACGCTTATAACAACCTTGCACTAAGTGTAGCCGCTCACCGAAATTTCAGCCTCTAAAGTGCAAGTTTTCCTTCTGGAATTCGTCTCCAAAGAAGGGC